AAAGCCAAAAAAGGAGAAACAGAAGTAAAAATCCATCAACTGATGAACAGGTAAACAAAACATGAAATATCCACACAAAGTAATATTCTTTAGCCATAAAAAGGAATGAAGTAGTGATACATGCTACATTAGAGATGAACCTTAAAAACATGTTAAATGTAAGGAAGACACAAAGGGACACATATAGTATGAGTGGTCACCGAGGGAAAAAAGGCAGAGGAAATGCAGAGTGACCACGAAACGACCCAGATGTTTGTTCTGCATGTGACTAAAGTGTTCTAGAATAAAATATTAATTGTGATGGTTGCACAATTCTGTTAAACTACTTACAACTACTGAATTATAATATTCTGAAGGGGTGAATTGTTTTTCTTTTTTGGTCTCATTTTGTCACCCTTGGTAGAATGCTGTGGCATCATAGCTCACAGCAACATTAAACTCCCAGGCTTTAGCAATTCTCTTGCCTCAGCCTCCCAAGTAGCTGGGACTACAGGCACTAGCAATGCCCCACTATTTTTTAGAGACGAGATCTCACTCTAGCTCAGACTGATCTTGAACCTGTGAGCTCAGGCAATCCATCTGTCTCAGCCTCCATAAATGAGTGAATTTTATGGTTTGTGAATATCTGAATTTTTAAAGAGTAAAGAACAATGGAACCAGACCAAAACAAGTCAGATCATACTTTATAATTTCTGTGAAAAATAAAAAGTTCTAAAAAATCCTTTTTAAGAACAGAAAAAAAGAGAGCCGGCTCAAAACCTGTGACTCAAGCAGCTAAGGCGCCAGCCACATACGCCTGAGTTGGAGGGTTCGAATCCAGCCTGGGCCTGCCAAACAACAATGACGGCTACAACCAAAAAATAGCCGGGCATTGTGGCAGGTGCCTGTAATCCCAGCTACTTGGGAGGCAGAGGCAGGAGAATCACCTGAGCCCAGGAACTGGAGGTTGCTGTGAGCTGTGGTGCCAAGCACTCTACACAGGGTGACAGCTTGAGGCTCTGTCTCAAAAAAAAAAAAAAAAAATAGAGCCAAACACCATAGCACATGCATATAGTTCCAGCTAGTTGGGAAGCTAAAGCAGGAGTTACTGGTTGAACTCAGAGAGAAGTTCTGTACTGTAGTGCACAATGCCCATCAGGTACTTGCACTGAATTCAGCATCAATATGGTATTCTCCTGGCAACAGGGGACCACCAGGCTGCTTAAAGAGGGGTGAATCAACCCAGAATGGGAAACAAAACAGACCAAAACCCCCAAGCGAATCAGAAGTAGGATTGTGCCTATGAACAGCTACTGCATTCCAGTTTGGATAACAGCAAGACCTCATCTCTTGGGGAAAAAAAAGAGAGACTGGGATAAAATCTTTTATTTATTATGCTAAAGATAAATCATTTGAAATAAAAGGCGAAAGTTAGTTACCTTTCATGCAACATGCCCATATAAATCTCCAGCTTTCTTCCCACAGTATACTCAATCCTTTAGTGCTACTTGTTATTCCACTAGTTTACTTACATGCTGTATTTCCTGCTGGCTGGCTCGGTAGTTTTTCTTGGTTAAATTGTCCACCAGGTAGCTGATTTGAGACAAGGCCAGCGAGAGCGAGTCAAGATTCATTGCTGGTTGGGGCGGAAGCAGGCGGCCGAGCCCGGCGCAAAATCACCATTATTCCCCTTTAGTCACCTCAGAGGCAGGTTAATGCTTTCTTTGTAATTAGGCTATATCTGGTGTATGTACAATGTCTTCAGTTCTTCTTTACCAGGGGTCTTACTCTGTTCTGAAACATGGCACCTGTTAAAAAAAGAAAAACAAAAACAACAGAATTTTAAATTAGGGGGAAAGGGCTATCCCAGTACAGTAGTATTCACAATTGACTTATTCCTTTGTTACTTTTCTACTCCCACGCTTCATTTGACTGGCCTTTAAAAAAAAGAAAAAGAAAAGGTTTGGAGAAAACAAGACCAGGCCGGTGACTCACAATTATAATCCCAGTACTACAAAAGTTGGCTGAGGTGGAATACTGCTTTAGGCCAGGAACTTAGCCTGAGCAACATAGGAAGACCAAAAATAACCAACATATTAGCAAGCGTGGCGGTGTGTACCTGTAATCCCAGCTACTCAGGAGGCCAAAGGTGGGAGGATGAGCCTAGGAGTTTAAAATTGCAGTGAGTCATGATCACGCCACTATACTCTAGCACAGAAAATAGAGCAGACTCTGTCTCCAAAATATATATATGGGGAAAAAATTAAACAACCTTCATCACTGTCTTAGTACCTAAAATGTTACTAAGGACTTAAAAACAGTAAGCTAGCTCAACCACAGTTGATTACAATTGCCAACTTTCAAAATAAGATAAGCAAGTATAAAACGAAAATGTTACCAGAAAAAGTTTTATTTTAGCAAAACAATTTGTACTACTTAAGATTACTATTTTACCAACTTCAAAATGATAATTTCTACTATGGCTTTTGGAAGTAGCAAGAACTTAATTAAAATTATGATCTGTAGGAAAAAACACACACTTTTTCAGATCTTTCCATGCTACCTACAATCTACATATAAGACCCCATTTGTTCACTTTATTCCTTATGTTACTACTTCTGAATTAGGTAGTTTGGTCTCATAGTTGTAAGTAAGGACATATAGTTTATTGGATGGCAAGTAAAGGCTGATTTAAAGGCAAGTAAGGGGCGGCGCCTGTGGCTCAGTGAGTAGGGCCAGCCCCATATACCGAAGGTGGAGGGTTCAAACCCAGCTCCGGCCAAACCGCAACAACAACATCAAAAAATAGCTGGGCATTGTGGTGGGCGCCTATAGTCCCAGCTACTCGGGAGGCTGAGGCAAGATAATCACCTAAGCCCAAGAGCTGGAGGTTGCTGTGAGCAGTGTTACGCTGCCACAGCACTCTACCAAGGGCGAGAAAGTGAGACTGTCTCAATAAAATAAATAAATAAAATAAAGGCAAGTAAGGACTCCAGAAGCCATACTCCTTCCTTCACTCAAACTGTTCAAGAGAATCCCAAAGCACCAGTATAGCTAAAATGACAGGATGGGTACCAATTTGACTCCAACCACCCAGTGAATCAGGGGAATTAACTATTCTGTACCAAAAAAGACAAGGATGTGTCTACATTATTTGCTACATTATTTTTTTCTTTTGAGACAGAGTAAAGAGAGTACCATTAATAACCTATACTTAGACAATAGGTATAAACCACGATATGTGACCACCCTACCGTCGGCTTTGACAAAACTATCACTCTTCACACTTTATTCCTAAAATACCATTTTCATTGATCATGCTTTCTCTTAGTTTCCTCTACTGGGTTTTGGCCTCATAGTATTAGTGTCCTTGGAAGTCTTGTCTTCTCTATGTTCACTTTGACAAACTACTTCAGTTGTATGGCTTTAAAACCACCTACATACCAATAATTCTCAAAGTTCTGTCTTCAGTCCAAGCTTCTCTCATGGTATCCAGATTTGTACCATATAATTTTCTACTGGGCATTTCAAACAAAGTATATTCAAAAAAAGTTCCTGGCTCAGTGCCTGTGGCTCAAGTAGCTAAGGCGCCAGCCACATACACCTAAGGTGGCGGGTTCGAACCCAGCCCTGACCCGCCAAAACAACGACGGCTGCAACCAAAAAATAGCCGGGCGTTGTGGCGGACACCTGTGGTCCCAGCTACTTGGGAGGCAGAGGCAGGAGACTCGCTTGAGCCCAGGAGTTGGAGGTTGCTGTGAGTGGTGATGCCATGGCATTCTACCCAGGGAGATAACTTGAGGCTCTATCTCAAAAAAAAAGTTCCTGGTCTTCCCACTCAGTGTTACACATGGAAAGACTTCCCCACCTCAACTGATGCTAATTCCATTCTTAAAGTAACCCAGGTCAAAATCTTAGAATCCTCCCATGCCCCACAGGAAATCCTTTTGGTTGTACCTAAGAAATGTAACCAGATCCAACCAGTTCCCACTACCTCCAAGCTATGATGCTCTAAGGACCATAGTCTTTCACCTAGATTTGGGTCTCCCTGCTTTCCACCCTTGTTCACTATAAAACACAAAAGCCAGAGAAAAATACTTTTCAAATGTAAAAAAACTCAGATATGACATCTTGTGCTTAAAACACTCCAATGACTCAAAGTGGAAGCCTGAGCCCTTACAATTGCAAAGGAATGAACACCTTTACAGGATCTAATCACTAGTACTTCTTGGGCTTTCTCTTCTATTCTTCTACTACCCAATACAGTTCTCTTGAGCCATAGGGCCTTCTTGATGCTTCTCAGATATACTCCTGCTTTTAAGCCCTCTGCATAAGCTGATCCCTCATCATGAAATGCTCTTCCTCCAGAGAGCAATACAGCTAACTACCTTGCTTCAAGTCTTTACTCAGTGAAGACCACTCTGATTACCCTATGTAAAATAGCATCTCACACACCCCACACCTCTGTCCTATTCTTTTTCCCACATCACAGCACCTAACATATTATGTAACATACTTATATTTGCTGTGATATTAGGATACAAGTTCCATGGGGCAGTGACTGTAATTGTTCACTGTTCACTATTACCCTGTTTCCCCAAAAATAAGACCTACCCTAGCAAACAGCTAGGGGAAAAGAGTTCACGCATCACTAGCGCCAGCCTCACCAACAAGGTCAGCTTCCCAGGTCAGGTTCCAGAAGAAGATGACTTAACTGTATTTGAATAAATGTAGATTGTTGTATTATACTTAATAAAAATAAAACATCCCCTGAAAATAAGCCTTAGTGTATCTTCTTGAGAAAAAATAAATATAAGACAGTGTCTTATTTTCAGGGAAACACAGTATATATACTGATATACCTATAGTAAAATCTCTTCAAATATTTATTCAATGACTAAGATATAAATCAAAGCTTAGGATTTTGTAACCTGCATATTCACTCTATCAAAAAGCATGAAAACCACTGAAATTTTCCTGGTCACATACAACAATCAGGAGCATAAGCAAAACACTTTTTTTAAAATATGGAACACTTCAGAAATTTGCATGTCATCCTGTACAGAGCCCTGTTAATCTTCTCTGTATCATTCCAATATTTTAGGATTTTTTTTTTTTTGAGACAGAGCCTCAAGCTGTGCCCCTGGGTAGAGGTGCCGTAGCATCACAGCTCACAGCAACCTCCAACTCTTGGGCTCAAGCGAGTCTCCTGCCTCAGCCTCCCGCCTCAGCCTCCCGCCTCAGCCTCCCGCCTCAGCCTCCCAAGTAGCTAGGACCACAGCACCCGCCACAATGTCCGGCTATTTTTTGGTTGCAGCTGTCATTGCTGTTTTTGGTGGGCCCGGGCTGGATTCGAACTTGCTACCTTAGGTGTATGTGGCTGGCGCCTTAGCCACTTGAGCCACAGGCATCGAGCCTATTTTAGGATTTTTAATTTAATAGCCTCAGTAGCACATACTGCCAAGTTGCTAGCATCCTTCAAATTAACATTTACCCTCATAATTTGCATGCATAATTTGGGTTATACTATCTTTACTTATAGGCCATGTTTATTCTAAATACTATAACACAAAGGTGTAAAGTCATTTTCCAAAAACTTCTCTACTAAAACATTTAGATATTAAATTATTTTAAGATCAGAAAATCTGAGATTCCAAGATATTCATTAACTACAAGGAATTTGTGGTCCAGGACCATTTTATTTAAATATGTAGTGTTTACTACTGGTCTCTATATTACCACATACTTAGACTTTTTTTTTTTTTTTGAGACAGAGCCTCAAGCTGTCCCCCTGGGTAGAGTGCCGTGGCATTACAGCTCACAGCAACCTCCAACTCCTGGGCTCAAGCAAGTCTCTTGCCTCCGCCTCCCAAGTAGCTGGGACCACAGGCGCCCACCACAACGCCCGGCTATTTTTTGGTTGCAGCCGTCATTGTTGTTTGGCGGGTCCAGGCTGGGGATTCGAACCCACCACCTTAGGTGTACGTGGCTGGCGCCTTAGCCGGTTGAGCTATAGGCGCCGAGCCCATACTTAGACATTTTAATGATTAACTCTACATCAAGGCCAAAGACATAAACACTGCAGACCTTCCCATTTTCATTGTTAAAAACACACGTTACATGAACCCAAATTTAACTGTCAAAAAATAAATAAAGGCTGGGTGTGGTGGCTCATGCCTATAATCCTAGCATTCTGGGAGGCTGAGGCAGGTGGATAGATGGGTGGATTGCCTCACCTCATGGGTCTGAGACCAGACTGAGTAAGAGTAAGATCCCCATCTCCAAAAATAGCCTGGCATCGTGGCAGGCGCCTCTAGTCCCAGCTACTCAGAAGTCTGAGGCAAGAGAATTGCTTGAGCCCAAGAGTTTGAGGTTGTTGTGAGCTATGACACCACAGCACTCTACCAAGGTGGACAAAATGAAATTCTTTCTCAAAAATAAATAAATAAATGTCAAAGGTTGCAGAAAAAAAATCCAACATACATATACATCCTTCCAAAATGCTAAGATATGTTATCATCATGCCACTGGAATTTCAACAGTAAAAACAACTCTATAATGAAACAAAGGTAACAGAAGCAATCCTGCAACAGAAATGCTAAATCCTCCCAAGCAATTACTTTACTAGAATCTTTTTCCAGCACTTCTCAATTTAACAAAGGTGTACAGTGCAAATTAAAGGGCACTGACATGCAAGATACTACAAATCAACTGTTACCGTAACAGTAATATCAAAAAAAAATAGCAGGCTTGGTGCCCGCAGCACAGTGGTTATGGCGCCAGCCACATGCACAGAGGCTGGCAGGTTCTAACCCAGACCGGGCCAGCTAAACAATAATGACAACTGTAACAACAACAATAAAAAATAGCCAGGCCCCGTCTCCAAATATAGCCTGGCATCGTGGTGGGCACCTGTAGTCCCAGCTACTCAGGAGGCTGAGGCAAGAGAATCACTAAGCTCAAAAAAGTTTGAGGTTGCTGTGAGCACCATGGCACTCTACTGAGGGCGATGTAGTCAGACTCTGTCTCCAAATAAATAAATAAATACAAAGACCCATAAATATATCTACACATCCATTTCTATATGTGCAGAGACAATAAGGTCTTAACTAATAGTAGTTACAAAAGGGTTTTCACTTAAAACCCCATTAAAGGAGCCCTAGAAATCTACATACCTCCAAAAGTATAAAATAACATATGTACACTATTTACCACAGCAATATCTGCCAGAGCAAGAAAAGTAACTAGGAGTAGTAACTGGCAGATTGACATCTGGCAGATTGACATCCTAGATGACATATACACAGTTCTCTACCTCTGTTTAAGCATTAGATTGCATGTATGCTACCTTTTTGTTTTTAATATTTAGTTATTTTTTGCAAAAATGTCAGGGTAGATAAACTACAAGGTAATAAAGATGACTATCGATAAAAGACTGGGTAAGAAAAGAGAAGAGGCTCAGCACCTGTAGCTCAGTGGCTAGGGCGCTGGCCACATACACC